ACGTGGAGTTGACTTGATCAAATACATTTTATTTGTTTGTTTTTAATTATGCCCAAAGTTACACAAGGGCTATCTGTGCTCTGCCCACCACGAGTATCGAAACCCGGTTTCTAGCGTTGTAAGTCCGCAGACATACCGCTGTGCCACTGGAGGGCGATCATACACATACTGTAAAAGTTCATTTAGAAGAATGAAGGGACTCGAACAACATCCACGTCACGGTCGTGTGTTCGTTTCTCATTATCTGAAGATTTTACACTGTGTATGCACAAACACCATTTCTTCAGGCTCTTTCTTACAGTTCGTTTTCTTTTTTTTTTCTTTCGAAGTTAGTATCGTTTTAAGTGTATGACGTCGAATAGCATTTTATATCAAAGTTCACAACAGTTTCAATGACAAGCTTGTGAGAGCCAAAACCAAACACCACCATATATTTCAAGTTATAAAACGATAATGCTTAAAATAACAAGTTTCTGTTAGTTTTTAAACTATTTACTGGTCACTTTAGTTTTATATCACTTGAGTGATAAAACAAGTACGTATTTTTGAAACCAAACACATGATGCAAAATTCTCGAAAAACAAAAATAAACTAAAACAATTTTGTATTTTCTTAGTGTAAAGCTACATAATGAGCTATCTGCATTCTTTCACCGCGAGGAATCGAATCCAGAATTCTAACATTTAAAGTCCGGATAACCAAACCAAAAGCTCCATTATACAATATTTATAGCACCTATTACGTTCTCTTACATATACAGGTTGTAAATGATCCCTTTAGTTGAAATGTCATCTTAAGAAAGAAGACGGTATTATTGAATATTTGAATATTTATCTCTTCTGAACCATCAGTGTTTCTTTTCACAATATTGTTTTTTTTTATTTCCTTTACAGGAATAAGTCTTTAATTGAATAAGTTTCCCAAAGCGATAAGAATAACAATACTCACTGTACTGTAACAGCTAATAACGATACTCAGTATACTGTAACAGCTAATAACAATACTCACTGTACTGCAACTGCTAATAACAATACTCACTGTACTGTAACAGCTAATAACGATACTCACTGTACTGTAACAGCTAATAACAATACTCACTGTACTGTAACAGCTAATAACGATACTACTGTACTATAACAGCTAATAACGATACTCACTGTACTGTAACAGCTAATAACAATACTTACTGTAGTGTAACAGCTAATAACAATACTACTGTACTATAACAGCTAATAACAATACTCACTGTACTGCAACTGCTAATAACAATACTCACTGTAGCGTAACAGCTAATAACGATACTCACTGTAGCGTAACAGCTAATAACGATACTCACTGTACTGTAACAGATAATAACGATACTCACTGTAGTGTAACAGCTAATAACAATACTTACTGTAGTGTAACAGCTAATAACAATACTACTGTACTATAACAGCTAATAACGATACTCACTGTACTGTAACAGCTAATAACAATACTTACTGTAGTGTAACAGCTAATAACAATACTACTGTACTATAACAGCTAATAACAATACTCACTGTACTGCAACT